CTGAAATATCCCCAGCTTTTACGCGCTGATACCAACGAGACCCGTGACATGGCAGGTATCTCCTTTTCGAAGACAGGGTGGGCATCGGATCTCTGGACTACAACAGTGTCCCCCTGCAGAAACTCACAATATATACTCGAAATCCCTGAGATCGGGTAGGCGTGGCCGCATGCTTCAACTTAACCTGAAGGTGTCTATGCTTCTGGTGAGATATTTTCATCTTGACACAATTGTTGTCGTGTCTCTGTCCAAACAGAACAAGATGACAGTTGTCCCAGACTGGAATATTCCACGAGTAACCAGTTCCGTGCCATGTTCAAATGCCACGCCTACTCTGGCTCAGGGATAAGGAGTGTACTTCCGTGCGATACTCTCCCAATTCACGCATTATCGATTCTCCAGCGTCGCGGAGTATGAAAGTCCTTCTGTAGTGGTTCCATTTTTGCGGCGCAGTTTGACTTGGTGGGGGCTCTACTGTGCTTGAAGAGGCCAACTTGTTAAAGCCTGAAGACTGTTACTATTTCGCAGCTTCACAGAGATGAACAGGTCTTACCAAAATGAGTCCTGATATTCGACGTGAAATTACAAGAGGAGCTAGCAAAAGTCCAAAATGCCCCTCCAAGCCGAACAGCACCCTTTTTTTCTCTTATGAAGAACCTACTTCAGATAGATGGAGCTACTCTGTTGATGCTATCCGAACTTGATCTACGAGATCCACCTCTGCAAATCAAGTGCTTAGGGGATATAAAACGACTTGGACGAGCAATATACGATTTGAGAAATGTATGGTTTTAAGGAAACCGTTCATTTTCGCATGTTTTCCCTATAAACTTTCTTAGATTCTTCTTTAAGTCTCATATGAATTCACGACAACCGTCACCACGGGTTTCTGAGTCAGCTTCACAACATGATGATGTATTATTATGTGTGGAATACGATCAGCGCAGAAAAATGTCTATATCAGGCGAAGATATACGAGTTAGAACGAAAAACACTGCAATTATGTAAGCCATTTTTGAGGTTTTTCAGCATAGTAACGCTATAAATTATTATTCTGTTAGGGGTTCCGTTATTTCAATTGAGGAAATCTCCTTGTTGTCATGAAATGCTCAATTATTCAGCACAAGTCTAAATGAAAACCACCTTGGGATAAAGGGGCAGGGGTAGTGGGAATACTACTTGCACAAAAAGGGGATAACGTCAATTAGAAGGACTGCCATTTAAGTTCATCAACAAAAAGGTTCCTCTAGACCATCGGGGGACTCCTTTTTTGCACTGGTACTCCTTCGAATACCCTCTCTCACGAGACATAGCGTGGTGTGACTGGTAGCCCACTGTATCTTCACTTTTTCATATACTTATTTGCATTTTTTTCGATTTTGAGAGCTCCTAAAATGGCAGGGCGTTGACCGACGACGGTGTATTTGGGAAAAGTAAGGTCTTTCGATGGGTTTTAGTGATAGAAAATACCTGAGAAACAACTGCTTTCATTTCTATGTTAAGGCATATTGCACGTGTTAAGCGGATCATGTCGAGGTGGAGTTGGGAGCTGGTGTAGTGGCAGTTTAGCCCGCGTAATACATGCGTGGTCCAGGGTCAGATCTCGGGCTAACCACATCTACTCGGTCGTCTTTCTCTTTCCTCCAGAGACGGTAAGTTATATCAGATTAGTCTGGGAGGATAAAAACCTTGGCTTGTTCATAGATTTTCCCCTCTGAGCCACTCTGTAGGTCATACCGCATTCAATAGGCTACTTCGATGCTGAATGGAAGTGGAATGCATGCCACATCCTCAAAAGGGACTGATCAGCTGCAGAAATTTTATTCCTTTTTCATTGAGGCTTATTATGCTTTGTCATGTTTTATTTTTACCCATCATTATGGCTACTTTTTTAGTGACGACCCTCTAGTCGATTCTATATCTGAAGCTGGTGATATCCGATCTGTACGGTTGATATCAAGAGATGAGGTGTGTTTCTTTTTTATGAGATCTTCTCTATTTATTTGTAGGTGACTCAGTTATCAAAATGCGATCTGATAACATTCTCTTTTTTCGTATTATTTTTTCTTCTCCATGTTGTATGTAGTAACACGACCTGTTTTACAGTGATTTTTTCAGCTTATACGAACTGTTGAAAGTCCTGACACCAAAGCAAAAAGTCTAGCCAAATTGGTCATAGCTTTTTTCTATTGCTTATCCTCATTACTCATCACAGCCTTCGTGATGGTTCTAGTACACGATCGTGTACCAGGTATAGTTTTATCAACTATTTTATTGTTTTTTTTTCTTTGCTTATTTGTGGACGTCTAATATCGTTTAATTGAGAGATGATAAACCTCTTTCCTCAGTCCTAAATTTGTTTACCATCGTCTCCATTTCCTTGCTAGGTTCATGTAATCTGGTAAAATGTATATCCAGTGGATAATTTGTCCCCAGGAATTCGAGACTATTTCCCAACCATAGCGTCACGGGAAATATGCCCTTGTCATTATATCCCTCCCCCTACTTATGGAAATGTTCGTACGTTTTCCCACAGATGTCTCCTAATCCTATTAAACCCTGGCTGCAGAAGTTACGTTTGCGGTGACACTGCATTTTGAGGATAGCGGCATATCATTCACCCTATAAATTGACCCTGAAATTGTGCCCTTGTTCGAAGGGGTACTCCATTCAAGATCAACTCAGAAAAAACTGTTATGAAGGTCTGTGATCGCTAGTTGAGTCATACCTGACTAGAGCTGTGTCTCACAAGAAATGGAAAATTCCATGCACTGTGGAGTTTCGGCAGGTTCAATTGTCGTGACTTTATGCAAGTTGAGGCGAGAACGTCGGTATATTACATGACGTTTCTTCGTAAGTTCGGGTAGTCTTCAGCATCGGTCCCACTTACAGTTCCCCTCAAAAACGTCGCTGCCCTGTTCAATATTGACCTCTGGACTTATGACACCCTTTTCACCGTCTTTATTCTGCTTCATACGCTAAACTCTGATGAGGTCTCCCTCCAAATGAAGTTCTTCCAACAATAAATTGATGCTGAGATCCTAAGATTACTGCTTCAGATTTGCATTACAGATATGAAAACATATCCACCTCTGCCAGACATTGTGCTCGATAATTTGCCCCTAATTCCATGGGCATTTGAAGTATGCGAATTGATAGGAGTAGCGCTGTCTGTCATATGGTTTACTATACTTACTTTTCACAAGCATAGGTACGTTTTTGCTTTTATGCTTTTTACTAACCACTATTATATTGCTGTGAAATTAATTGGAATCTGCTGAGAATTTTTTTCCAAAAAATTTTTACGTCACTGATACTGAACATTCACACCATTTACAGTTCTCATCATTGCGGACCGGTGGGGCGTGTCAGCCAGAAGGAGTGCGCACACTGTTGAAGCCGTTCTCAGCCTTTTTTGTTGCAACGCGTATGCGACAAAAAGTGGTAGAAAACGAGTAATACGAAGGATATAATACAGTAATGCACTTCGCTTCAAAAACTGGTGCAGAACGACTTTGCCAAACCGCACCAAACGCAGCCGCACTGCCACGCCCCACCGGTCCGCAATGATGAGGACTGTAAGTACGCAGGTTCGGGTTATTTTTCCTTTGAATGGTTCATATCTTGCTGTGTTTCAGTTTTGGAGTTATTTTGAAATTAGAGGGTCCATGATTTAATAACGCTCCCGCCATCTTGATACTGATACATTTCTATTCTCATTTGTCATCAGTCCATTGTTCGTAATTGAAGAGTCAAAATCAGAAAAGTTTTTAGATGTGGTCCAAAAAACAGTGGATGTACCTTTTTCTGCGTTTTTAATACCAAGAAATCTCAAGAAACATAGTTTTTAGATATGATTGCCTTTTTAGAGTAGTGATCATGCGGAGGATGTTTTCCCTAGTAGGAACTGTATTTTTGCTCCGGTGTATAACAATGCTGATCACATCATTGTCCGTACCGGGTGTACATCTTGAGTGTCGAGCAAAGGTGGGTGTGGTTGCCCTAGTGTTTAATATACTTTTGACAGTTTATTTTCACTTTCTAATCCGTATTTTTTTCCTGATGTTTGTTTTCACCCAGTAATACGTCTTTTTTTGCCTAATGTTTGTTTTTTCTGAGAGTTTCAATTAGTTCGGGCTGAACTTACGACATTGTTCGCTGGGAGAGTATCGTACTCGCCTTAATTCCTTTAGTTTTTCCCGTTTCATCTGAGCTATGGTAGATAGGATGTGGAAGGATGTTGTATTTCGCGAAATTTTTTCCCTAACCGTGGGAGTCCGTTATGCACCAATTGTCGAAGGAAGCAATCTGAAACAACTGGTGGAAAACGGGCTGGCGGCACGCCGAACCCAGCCTCCTTGGCACGTCACAGCATCCGCAGCGAAACGACTGTATATTGGGTTTGCCCATAAGTAATGGTCTTTAACTTGAACTTTGCGTAAAAGCTAAAATGTCTGTTCGCGCGCTTTACACCGTTTGATATAGAAGTAGATAAATATAATTGAATATAAATGAACATAGAACTAGCAAATCGTTGAATCAAGCTATTCAGCGGTAGCGATTTATGCGCTCATTCGTTGACTTAGTATACAGTGAAAATTATGCCAGTAACTGGCTTTTCTGGCAGACATATCTGAAACGGACCACTAATCTGTTCAATAGGTGAACCAGCTGTTATACTCGAACTGTAGACTTACAGGGCAACGTTCTGCCCACTATCGGAATACTCTAATTAGTGCTATTGTATGGAACGGAACATAGTCTTCGCTTTTTTAGTCTCCGCTTTTTTTTCTTTTATTTTTCTTTAGTTTTCGACCGCTCCTCGTAAGTGCGCAATAATTTCCAGAGTTATGGCAATCTAGTGGACAAATTGGTGCAAGCGTTTCACATTTGGTCTCGTCTAGGAATGTCGATACAGGTATGGTCGTGCTGTGTTAGGGATAATTTGGAATCGCCTACAAAATGTCGGGCTGTAACTTTTGAATTGATGTGGCTAGCATTCTGCTGGAAAAATTAGGCTTACAAGAATGATTACTGCTAGAATGTATAGTTCTTTCCCTTGCGGCCACTTCATTCCTACGATGACGCTGCTTCCTTGGCAGTATCGGCGCGTGCGTGATCAGCATCGGTAGAAATTCTGATGCTGCCATTTGATCAAGTCGTGGAAATGCAGTTGCCTAGGTAGCTTCAATACTGCCTACATGCCGCAGGTATGCAGTTCCATAGGGATCTGCTCTCAATCTATCGTAGCAGGTCTAAACGCAGTGAACGCAGTGAGCGTCAGCGGGGAGTGTAGTCGATTTTGTTAGACCATCTGCTTTATGGTAACGTCAACTGAAGACCTGCTGTTTACTCTTGAAATGGGGATTTCCGAAGTTGTAGCGCTTTCAGCCTTCCGAACTTTTGCGACCGTTTCGGTCTGAGATCCGTATTCTGAGGTCGGCTCTGTTATCGATAAAATTAGTTGGTTTGATTTCAGGGTGTTCGAACTTGTGGGGACTACATGTTCAGTGGTCATACCACTGCAATCACACTGCTTAACCATTTTATAACTGAATGTGAGTTGTTGTTGCTGCTGTAATTTGTTCCATTTTATTGCAATTTTGTTGCAATGGTGTGCGACGTAGTCAACAGCTAAATGCAAAGTGAGACACAGTAATAGCTAGCGTATTAGAATGGCAACAGTAAAAATCGGCGTCATTCTGCGCAAGGTAGGCCCGACCTTTCAGAGCGACAGTTTGGTTGAAACGTCAAGCCGTCAACGAACATTCCATTTGAAAACCTTAGTAAACTAGTAAATAAGGTATAGGCTATTGAGAAACGTTCACGGATTTCGATTGACTCTACACTGCCTTACTGCCCACTCATTCTTGCCTCCATCTCATTCTTTTTCTTCTAGTATGTTCTTTTTCCAGATACGCCAGCATCGTGGACGTTTCTTCATACCGCCACATGGGTGATGAACCTCTTTGGAGTATTTTTCATACTTGCTGGTCACGAACACTATTCGATTGATGTCTTCATTGGTATGCTGATTGCATTACTTTTTCTTCGGCTCTTCCAGTACTTCCTTATTCGGCCTTTGGTGAACATAGAAAATTGACGTTCTCGCTTGCCGTTTAGCTTACCGTAGGATAGTAGCTCTTCTGTGGATTGTAGCTCAGCTTGGTTTTTCCGATATCCCTTCTTTAATCGTGCCATAGTCCCTGATGAAGTGATGATTCGATTTATTGCTGATCATTTCGTTTTTCAGCTTTCTATATATCGTCCCGAATGTTCCTCTACTATCATGCATACGCATACAATCATGCGAATCTTACCGCAACGGACGACCGTATCCGACTCTGGTTCCCATTGGGATGGTTCTTTGAAGCTGGTAGCATTGGAAAGGTAAGACACTTCACTTTCAGTTGTTCTACTTCAAACGTATTGTTATTGTACAAACTACTTTATATTGTGCTACTCCAACTCTTACAGTATCTGAATTTTGTGAATAAACAAATGCGCTCTAAAAAAGGTTGCTGCAGATGAACTAAAATGTCTCAAAAAATAAAACTCAAATATCCTTGATGTTTTTTCAAATGAAACTCAAAAGGCTCGGGTAAGACACCTGGCACTTCTCAGTTTCTTCTGAAATCTTGTGCAGTAAACATTTCGAGTCTGTTTGTGTTATTTACAAGTTACTTTTCAAAAAACAGCACACCACATCACATCCTTTTTTAACTTTCTCTTCCATCGATAAATAAACTATCTACTGCTGTTCTCTACTACTTGCAGTCGGAATCTTGCTGTTCAATTTCAAAGATTTCTTTTTCAAAAGCGTAAACCCTACTGTTTCTCCGCGTTCCTCCATTTAACGATTATCACAGCATTGTTGGTTCCTTGAGCTCCATTTTTTATCTTGTTTTAAATTAGAATGAAAATTCCACTTCTCCAAAAACCTTTATTGATCACGTTTCGGCTACGAGCCCTTCCTGAGATCAACTGAAATTACATATTCACCACATAACACAAAACAGCTCAAGAAAAAGCAGTTGCACTGACCAGAACCGTCCTGCGATATGGTTCCAGAAGGACGAATGTGAAACTGAAAAAAAGGGGAGGGGCATGCGAGCCGTGGAGATAAGGGAATCTGAAGGGGATAAGGACTGATCTTCATATTGTCCACGACTGTCCTCATCCAGCACATTGCATGGTCTTATAATTCTATAAGCCTCATGGCCATTTTCATCTCCTCCTTGCTATGTATGGATGAAGATGGATATGAGATTGGCCATGAATGAGGCTTATAGTGTTTTAAAACTGTGCTGGATGGAGGACACTCGTGAACAATGTGGAGATCCGTCCTTATCCTCTACAATTTCGTTATCTCCACGGTGCGAAACGTAATCAATAAAGGTTTCTGGAGAATGGGGTCTTCATTCCTTTTTCAAACAAAATTGTCACAGCTCGTCATCGCTCTCAAGAGGCGACGTGGGACATGTGATTGGGCACCAGACAGGGAAGGGACTTTACGTAATCGCGAGTGTCTTTGTGGGCTTGAATCGCGATCAGTGAACTGAGATGTTCTCGATACTTCAACAGCTGCCATCAGCTGAGTAATTGAAGTGACACATTCAGGGCATAACTAGGATCGGTTCTCACCATCCTATGGGACACTGACAAGGGAGGTCTTCAGGTCGTGGCGCGCTTTTCGGAAATGATTTGTGAGTGACGACCTACTGGTGGTTCCGAAAGAATTAGGGATGCAAGTTTCATATATGGAAGCGAAAACTGCTACTTCAATATCCCAAGCGATAAGCGTTAATGGCTGCCAATTTCGTTGGACGCGTGAGCGCCATGCATTTTCGCGCCAGGCGGGTTTGCTGGCGGTCTATTTGTCTAGTCGTTTGAAAGGAAACAGCTTTCGTTGATAATTCGAAGTAAATTGAGAATTCAGGTTCCAAACGAGTTTGAAATGCCGTTACGAGTGATTGTTCCGCGATGGTGGGACAATTCTCGTAGTCATGATGAAAAAGAGGCACGAGAGGAGCAGAAACCTGAAAAAGAAGGGAAACATCCAAGAAGGTGGAAAAAGAAGAATCATTAAGTACTCCCGAGACAGCGTACGAATTGCAGCGATAACGGCTCCATCACTCTATGGATCTCGTCTGAAAATTGTGTTAGCAAGCTTCGTTTACGAAAGGCCATTTCACCGTGATTTATGATGCTAATATGTTATGAAATGATGATATGTTTGTTGTTTTTTTTTCTCTCAGAAACCTGTTGAACTTGCAGTCTTGATGAATGTGTCGTGATGTTTATAGGCAATTCTTTCAGCTGAATTCAGATCAGCACGCCTTTGCCCGTTTTTTTTTACTGTCTGCAGGGCAAGGCTGCGAATGCGGTGGTGTAGGGCTTGCTTGTCAATATGGACGAGTTGTCATCGCGAGCAGGCGGCGTGACGCACATGCGATGACAATTCTGACAACAAGCAATTTTCTTGCAATTCCAAAATCCTAAATTTGAATTTAGGGTTTTTTTTTGGAATCCGGCGACCTTGCGTGCCATTATCCTCTGGGAACCTCTTCATAGTGTACATTGTTATTGTTGTAAAACTTGGTATGTAGTAAGACTGCACCACAGTGTTCCGTGAATGGGTCGATTTGTATTGCTGTGCCACATGTTGTTGCTAACAAATGAACTTTACGGTTGAATAACTTCACTAGTACTGTTTTCTTTAAGGTTTTAATGAGGTTTCCCTCTAGTTTGTATTTCGATCCACTATATTGTAAGTATCCGCTAGATCATTTATTTACTTTGTTAACTTGTGTGTGCCATTGCGCTAATTACATATTTATATCAATAATTTCCTGAAAAAGCAAATGATGATTCGCATAGTTTCTATAACTTTAATGAGAGTAATTTTAGTTTCACCACTTCTATTTATGCATGAGACGAGGTCTCATCGTGCTCATTTACAGTGACAGTTTTTGTTACGTCTTCGATTGATTCGTATGTGTTAATGAAGAGTTGCTTGCAAATGTCATTTAGAACGATCAGATAGTGCAGAGATGTTTGAGATGCCAAAATCAAGTTAGTAAAGCTTTGTTCAAGAAACCCGTGTATACATCGCCTTCTTGTTTGTGAATTGTAAGGTAATCGTGAACTAGCAAGTAGTGGTCACGGGACGAAGCGACTTTTTTGAAAGATTTCTGATATCTAGTGGGACTTTGGGCAATGATTACTTACCTTCTGTATCTGGCTTGAACAATTATTTTGACAACGTTCTGAGCATTTCACAAATGGAACTTCTCCAGTTCTCTGGTTTTCGAGTGGCTGTGATTTTCTGTCGGAAATCTGAATTCAAAATTATGTTTTCTTTGCATTAGGTTATTGGGGAAGTTCTCTCATAATTTTTAGATTCAAAAATTTGCTCTCAGTCTGAGACGGTGTAATAGATAATGTGAGCAATAATTCCCGAAGTGATATAGTTCCTATTAGTGGTACTCCCTTGTCTCTCACTCCTTAGCAGTATGGAGACAAGAACAGCGTCCCCTAGCGTCAACACCAACCGTCGAACACCCCCCCCCCTCGAACTCGAACTCGAACTCAGTTTACGGGAGCTGCGGCTCGTGAAGCTACTGGATGTAGAGGCTGGTTCCTCTGTCAATCTCTACACAAAAGTTGCGAGTTCTGAAGCGAATCGTCGATCAGAGGGAAAAATTTGTCTGCACTGACTGCCTTCAAGTGCAGCCCATACCCTCCAAAAAAGTGCAGTAGAGTTGGACAGCTCTCTCTCCCTTTGCACTGGTGTAGACCAGACACTGCTCCTTCCAACTGCTACTTGTCTTTAGAATTAACCCGTTACATGGACCCGAACGCAGGTCAAAATCGAAACAATGTCGAACTTTGCGTCGCGCCGGCCTGCATTGTGAAGCGATGGCATCCATAAGTTGCTCAAGAACTGGCAAGAACCCCGAAATAACAACTTTGTATTCTTTATAACACTAACAACTTCAACTCTATCACTTTATATTCTTCGTCTTACACGACTCTTTGGAGCTTATTTTCAGAACAATATGGCAGAACTTCCGCCAACCTAATAGAACATGTTCAGTATATCTTTTTGAAGTCTTCAACGCGAACATTGGATTCGTTGTGTAGATGTTCAAATCTCCTAAGAACGCAAGAAAGATTAGAAATAAGATCATTTGAAGCAAGTTCGTCACATATGGTGGCTATTCACAAAAATGTGCAGGTGGGAGGATGGGATTTCCGGCGGCTGTACCGTACAGATGGTATATTAGGTTATATTAGGTATATATTAGGTTGTTGCATAAGTCTTTCCCCCTGTTTGGTCCTTCCTTATTTCGTTGGTATTCCGTCATCACGTGTGCGTGACGTGTACATGATACTCTTTCACCACACTAGCTATCACTCACCCACCCTGCATTTGCAGGCTACAATGCCGCACAATTACCAGTGCAAAACCATGTCACAGTGGTGATTGTGCGGCATTGTGGCCTTCTTCGGGTCCCAGCCCCGTCCTTCTGGGACGATGGAATCGACAAGCTGCCTGAGCGTTGGCGTCGAGTAGTGGATGGTGATGGTGCATACCTCTAATCTTCAGGCTGGTTCGCTATTGAGATATTTACAAAAAAGTCGGGGAAAGAACTTATGCAACAACCTGATAGTTTATGACATTGCAACCCGTCGGGGCGGCAATAGCAGCGTGGCATGAGCTCGCTCTAAACTGCCTTGCTCTACCGATAGTGATTGAGCAATGACCGTTTAGAAAGAAACCACAACCATTGGTGGGAGCGCTGCAGGCGAATACCGATTGATTGCAACCCGAATGGTTGCGGTAATATAAACTGGAAATACACTCCTTATTCCTGAGCCAGAGTAGGCGTGGCATTTGAACATGGCACAGAACTGGTTACTCGTGAAATATTCCATTCTGGGACAACCGTCATCTGTTGGACAGAGACACGACAACAATTGTGTCAAGATGTATTTCACCAGAAGCATAGACTCCTTCAGGTTAAGTTGAAGCATGCAGCCACGCCTACCCGATCTCAGGGATTTCGAGTATATGTTCGCTCATTATTGAAACAAAAAGTACATTTGACTCGATCAGGAGGTCATTTGCGCACTCGGAAATCTAATTTACTCCACAATGAATTTCCATCCTAGATATACTAAAAAATAGCACTGAAAATGCCTTACACGTTGAAAATCTCTGGCTTTGATCGGCTTGCTACCTTTGATCGAGACCATCTGGAATTTCTACTCTAGCTGATTTCATCAAAACATCCTTTCAGACAGTCCTAGACTTCTTTCAAAATTGCAGCGCTGAGCATGAGTTCAGCACAGAGGACTAGTCCGTTATAAGAAAAACATTCGTTGTACGGGCTCAAGTTTCAGCGTGTAAAAGCTTGTAGTCGAGCTTGAAGCACATGACGCTGATTAGGCGTAGCGCATCAACGAGACTACCCTGTTTGATATCGGGTACCTCCCACGTTGTTCAAGAGTCTAGCAAGTTTTTTAGCCGCCTGCGCGTCAAGCATTGTCTAGCTATGGTTATGATAACGAGATGCAGGTAAGCGAGACGAGCTTATGATGTCGTCACACAAGTCGTGCTCTCGAGCGTCTATGGTGTCGAAAACTTTAGGCCGGATCTCCGGATGTTGGGATCGGGCCACTGGCGTCCGCAGGCGGCGCCGCCGCGGCCAGAACTCGCTAGCATGAATCGGAGTGCCAGCCGAGTTGCAATATGCGTACTGGGCGATAAGAGATCGCTACATTACGGAGAGTGTACAAGTGAAGAAACTCGCATTTCCACGCCAAGCGCTATATGGCGCGTGGACCACAGATGACGATGAACAATGTTGTCTGGTTACCGTATTGCCATCTTGAACGACGATTCCTTTTCTGACTCTGCACCCTCTCTCACATGACAACCTCTTAAGACACACCGAAAAACCTTTTGCCGCGACCGCCCCCCTCATCGGACCCCCAACATGAGAAGTTGCACCGATACGCATATATAGGCTAACTGAGCTTCAGTTCTCTGTCATAACATATCATTCTCTGGTAGCGTGGATGTGAAGCTGTAGATGATTTTGTAGTACTGTTAGCTCAGTGCGTTAGTGATTGTAGGAGTGTTACCTCGCTGTACTTTTTGGTCCATATTGTTGCAACATGCCAGCTCTGTATGTTGTGATTTTTCATGAAGCCTAACTCTTTATTTTGTCCTCTTTCTCGCGTTAGCTGATCGGCACCTTGAAACCAATTGCATGGGCTCATGTTTGAGGCACTTAATGGTTCGATTTCGCGCGAATCGTCAAAACCTGAGCAAAAAAAGAAATATTTCGAGGGGCCGCAGGGGCGAAAATTCTTCTCAAACCCTACGTGGACCACCTCTGACGGTGCGATAATCTGAGAAGCTTCCCTTTTCTCCCTAGTTTCTCAAACCTTTACATGTGATCCACTGTAGTGTCAGTAGGTCGCCAACTTGAGGAATTCATGCCATCATAACAACAGTTTCGCGCGTGTATAACCAGTCTTGTGAACCCGTCATGATAGCTGATAGCAGCGTAGGCGATCCCCATCTCGTGTGTTGGTATCAGTTCCCGTTTACCGTATACAAGGCAGCAGTAAACGCACTTCAACCCAAGGCATATCATCCGTCGTAAGAATAACAACGGAAGAGGTCCTTTTTGGGTTTCGAGAAGAGTTTTGATGGCTTTTTTTCATTTTTCCCGTCCCACGAGATCTATAAACTCCCGATAGTGAAAATTGGAGAGATTATCATAGAAATTTGATAAGGTTTAGTGAGATGCTGGTGAAAGGGTGCCCTACCGAGGAAGAAAATTTGGGGGATGTTGTTCTTGGCAAAAGTTCTCCACAGTGTGCTGATGTGCCCTGTCTCAACCACGTGCTCTTCTTGTTACATCTCTTGTGTCATCCTCTTCCTAGAGTAGTACTTGCTACAGCCCTAGAAAATGTGATATAGATCGCAACTGTAAAGAAGGTTCGCAAACTCGAGGCCGTCTGGTTTCTTGTAGACGCCCATGTTTTGGTATGTAGATGAACGTCTTGCGACTCACGTGTGAGATCGATCGAAAGCGTGACATAGGGGACGATATGTAAATGTATCGATGAGATCTTTTTCAATAAGATCGCCCTCAATGAATGGTCAGGGCATTGATTTGTATACGTCGTTGGTGTGTCATCGCCAATTTCCACAACCTTTTCGGTTTAACGCGCCCTCGACAACAGTAAAGCAATTTAGTGACCTGCCACGTCCAGCCGGCGATAATGTTCACCATGGCATGCCATTGGTAATCTTTGGTGCCCGCCTATATGACCACCGGAATCGCATAGCGGCTTTGTTTGGATAGCGTCTGATAGCAATGGAGTTCGCAGTGGGCGAATTCCAACTTGCCCGTCGCGAACCGGCTCCAGAACCGGATATCTAGCTACAAAGCACAGCAAAATTTAATTTCATGATGGAAACTTTGCGCAAAGCGACCGACGCTTCCATCATACTTTCGTATGTTCTCATCCCATATCTCGTTTGACATCATCACCGTTCGTCACTTCATTCTCATTGTAGTCGGATTTTCTCCCTTCTCTCCTGTTCGTCTAATAGATTTTTCTGAAGTTGGAGACGCTAGCAATTTTTGGCTCCACCCACCACGCTGTATTTTAGATTCCTATCGAATATTTTGTGATTTGTGGTTTGGGGTGCAATGATGCAAACCTACCTAAAGTCGACTTTCTGCTGTCGTCAGTATCGACTCGTCGCCGAAATGAACGAGTTTCTCCTATAAGAGAAATCCCTTCAGTTCGAAACATCTTGACGACTCTTCATCGACAGATCATCACTAGCCGCAGTCGATGACGGATCATTCAATGGCACCGCATCTATATCGTCATCCTCATCTCTCTGATCCA